TGAGAGAGAGAAAAGGATAGTATTTTTATTTAATTAAATAATTTAATAAAAAATAAAATAAAAAAGAATAAAATGTTTAAAATTTATATATTATATAAATAGTTGAAATAAAATATTTATATATTTATTTTAAAAAGTTTAAAACAAGAATAAGTTAAACAATATAATCTATTTTAATACTTCCAAATTGAAAGAATCAAAAACAAAAACGGAGAGGAAGCTCTATTTCCCTCCATCTCCCTCTCACTCCTTTAAAATGATTTATCCAAACAGGAGAATGTACTCTCTCTTCTTCACTCTCCACTCCTTCATTTCTAACTTCCTCAATCCAACAAAATCTTAGCTTACATGTGGTGATTCGTAGTTAATCCAGCTAGGTTATGCAGATCCAATGTTTTTAGTTTAAAAGTTTGGTTTTGTGTGTGTCGAGCTTTCCAAGGTTTCATGTTTGGACATAATCTACCATAAGACAATCTTGCTGTCAGGAAAAAATGTCAGTTTTGATACCCATTTTTATGTTTTTTTTTAATCGATAATACCCATTTTTCTGTAATCCATGCTCCAGCAATATTTTATGGTTAATTAAGTACTTCTAATTATTTTTTTATATTAAGTTAGACATGAAGTAATTATCTCTTATTTCTTAACTCCACTTTAAACATATATCATGTAGTTTAAATTAAAATTTTTTTTTATTGAAGTGAGATTATTACTAAATTACTAAAATCATTTACAAATATTTTTAATTTATTAATTTATTTTTTAATGGTTTTTGTGCTTCATCTAATTTCTTAGTTCATATAAGGAAAATGATACACTTATTCTCTGAACTAATATACCACTTTACACACTTGTAATTTAAGGATCACAATATAATTTTTTCCATTAAAATTTCTCTAGATTCCATTCATTTTTCTTGTCTTGCCTTTTCCGCTCTCGTCCTTTGTCACTATTTCTCCACTTGTCTCCTCCCACATCTCCTCTTGCGTGTTCTTCACAATGTAGATCTAGGTAGTCCTCCTCTTTGCACAACATTAGTTCCTTGATTTTCAACCTGCACAACATTAGTTCCTTGATTTTCAACCTGCACAACATTAGTTCCTTGATTTTCAACCTTATTCTTTCTTTTCTCTCCTCCTCCTTTCTTTTTCTTCTTTCCCTCTCCTCTCCTCTTCTTCCTTCTCTTCCCCCTTCTTTGATCTATTGAGAGAGAACCCACATTTGCGTTCTCAAACTTGGAGGATGACGAAGGAGAGAGAAGGAAAAAGAAAGACTAAGAAGGAAAGAGGAAGAAGATAATGAATTTTTACCAATTTTTGTTAGAATTTTTAGAATTTGGATAATATGGTGTGTTGTTTGGTTGTTAAAAAAATTGGAGGTGGAAAGAAATTTTCCTCTATAAAATAGGTTTGGTTTTAAAAAAAATCTAAGATGACAAGGGAAACTTTTATTGTTTTTGGGAAATTTATATAAACGGGAGAAGAAGATAAACTAGAGAAGAAGATGAACATGGAAGAAGATGTACAGAGGAGATAATTCCCAAATCTTTTTTAGATTGTTTGATTTTGTTTAATTAAAGGTAATTGATAATTTATATTTATTGTTAATTATTTAATTAATTGGTTAATAAGTTAATTACGAAAAATTAATTAGAAATTTTCAATTCATTGTCTTTTTTATAAACTTTACTTATCTAATTTTTTATTTTTGAACATGGGGAAATTTTGGGCAAAGGGGTTTTTTTTAAGTAGTAGGTGAAAATATAACTTTCAATCTATATTAGTCAAGTTCTTAGACTTGGTGGGTCAACCAATAAGTCTAATGAATTAGGTCTATCTAATTTTTTAATTAATTAATACATAAGTTGAGGAATCAAATTGGTATCTTGACCTTTGAAACTTTCAACTATTGCAATTAATACGAATGACCTGCTCCGGCCCAGTAGTATTGAACCTTGAGTTAGTGCTATTCACCTTTAATGGATTGCACGTTTAAACTCCACGGAATCTTTTTTTCCCTTCTCCCAATTAACCTTGTAAATAATTACAAATTATTCAAAAAAAACTATTGCAATTAATACATTTGAAAATAAAGATAAAAAAGTGTTTTATGTTTGACAATTAATTTAAACTGTTTGACTATAACTCAAAACTATGAGGTATTAATTTTATAAATAATGTGTAATAAAAGGTGTAAATTTGAAGTGTGCGCCTATCAACATCCTTCGTTTAAGGATCATGCCAAGAATTACTGTGGCATATACATGACTACACATGAGACTTACCGATAGGGGAGCACATGTAATGTGAGCCGAGTGGCCCAGGCTCTAAGTGCGATCCTCAGTTCCTCACCCAAAAGACTGTAACTTGAGAGTGGGTTTAGGTTAGACTTTGGAGTACTCGTTGTCCTTAATGATAAAGACCTGCCGTGACCAAATTTACGTGGGGCATCATAAATTCGTGGTGCACATGCATGCTTTGGTACGACAGTGCAAGTTGTGTGTGTCTCTTTATTTTCAATTTAGTACGTTTCTACTTATTGAGCCGTATACTTTTATCTTTAATTAATAAATTTATTTAACCTATATTTTAAAATTACATGTTATATTTTATTAATCATAATATATATAATTAAGTTATATAAAAATATATATTTATATATTTTAAGTGAAAATATTATATTATATTATATTTTTACAATTTATATTTTATTTTAATTAATTTAAAATAAAAATTTATTACAATTAATTACATATACTATATTTAATAAAACTTAACATGTGTACGAAGAACACAAATTAGACAATTCTTTAATTAATAACTTGCTTAACCTCTATTTAGCTCTTCGATTGACTAGATTTTAAAATTATTAGTCCTCATCTAAAAATTTAAGGGTATTAAACCTCTAAATAATATAATTTTGAGGGAACTTCTCCTTATTTATTGAGCGAATTTAAAGTGTATATAGTTAGTTGCATATTTAATCAATGGCAAATCAACATTTTTATCCTATGTGGCCTGTTAAAATGGCAATCAAGTAAAAAATTCTCCTTCAATGTAATAGAGTCCCAATCTATAATATTAAACAAAGACAAAAAAAAAAAAAAACAGTTAAAACAAATATCTGAGATCACGTTGTGTGCTATGTCATGTAAAATAAAGATGTTAATATATATTGATTAAGATGGTATAATATCTAATTAATAGTGTGTACTTTAAATCTATTAAATAAAAGAAAATTCTCTTAAATCATATTATTAAGAAACTAATACCCTTAAGTTTTTAGATGGAGATAATAATCTTAAAATTTATAATTAGAGGGTTAAATATAGGTTTAAACCTCAATAATTCTTCAATTATAACTTTAAATGCATCCATCACCTTCATTCAATATAGTAATCAATTGCCTTTCCCTCCATACATGAAAATCAAAACAAAAGAGGCAATGGTTGCACTTACCTAACAGTCTGGAAATTTTCATGTCAAAGTTACCTCTAAAGAGGACTAGGGGCAATTTTGCCCAATGCATTAACTCAATCCCCAACAAAACTTCCACGGTAGGTAACTAGCCCATGCCAAGACTCCCAATTTCTTACAATACAAGATGTATAATGTACTCCCTCCAACCTAGTGTTCAAAAGAGGTCCTTTAAGTTTTCCAAGGATAGAAATTAAAGTTTAAAACATGCTGCTTCTGAAGTAAATTTTAATTCCTTTATAAATTCATTATTCAACGTCTTTGCAAAAGATTTAGTGAAGCAAAATTTTTGCAAAATTACTATTAAACGAAACATCATCTAAAAATTTGAGATTTTAAATTAAAATGGTAAGATAAGTGGTAAATGATAAAAGGTGAGGTATTTGAAGAAAGTAAAACTGACTTTTTCTTTTTCAAACAAATGCACTTTGAATCTTAAAAAGCAGTATATCATATTATATCAAGAAATAAAAAATGGTTAAAGGTAATTTTGGCACCCTGCCAAAAGGATTATAACGTGAAAAAGAAAAAGAAAAGTAGGAAAAAACAACTGCTAAACTCACTGGTTTACGTCACATGGTATTTTTAAGACCTAAGCCCATATTCTTTGATATGGATGATCATGGGCTTGAAAGATTGGGAAATGAGTAAAAAAAGTGCAACTAGCATTTTCAAGTTTGGAAATTAGTAACTCCATCAAACAGTTCGATGACCATGTACTTTATTCAAGTAGGTGGGTTGTTTATCAAATTGAAGAATTAAATTTTTAATTATTAATATATAAGAGTATTAATTTATTAATCATTACTTTTATAAAAAAAAGAGGTTTGAAAATTGAGAGGTACACAGTTCACAGGATTTTCACGATGATCGTGTACTTTATCAAAGTAGGTGGGTTGTTTATCAAATTGAAAAATTAAAATTTTAATTATTGATATATAACAGTATTATTAATCATTACTTTTATAAAAAAAAGATGTTTGAAAATTGAGAGGTAAACGGTTCACAGGATTTTCACGATTCAGATAAATCTAATCTCTGTTTTTCGCCAAGTACAAAAATACCATAAAAGCCACTTGAGCTGTAATTCTGCAAAGCCACGGTAACCATAAAAAAATGAGGAAAAAGGAAAGTGGCTGGTCCATGTCCTGCAACCTGTTGCATGCCTAGAAGAGAGAGGAAGAGAAAGTGGGGCTTTTACAGCTCGTGAGGGGATAGAAAGGGTAGATGACGGTGGAAAAGGAGAGGGTAATTTGTCAGATTTTGTCCACCAAACCTTTTGAGATCTTTGCCTTGTTGTCTCTGAGTGGTTGGCAATATTTGTGGGACTCAGCTTCATCATCTCATTATTGTTTTTCTCTCCCTCTTCCTCCTCGTTTACGTGTCTTGAGGCATTGTGGAGTGAGAAATTTTAACATAGAGAGGTAAGTAAGGAAGATTGAAAACAAGGGAATGAATGTTGATACAAGCCTTGAATCAGTTACCTCTGGGTTTGTTGAAATTGATCCTACTGGAAGATATGGAAGGGTGGGTGGCCTCTTTATCTGCATCCTGTTCTCTTGCTTTTTATTTTTCATTTCTTCATTTATTTCTTGTTCGGGCGTGAAAGTTGTAAACTTTTTATTTCCATTTTTGCAGTACAATGAAATTCTTGGCAAGGGCGCCTCAAAGACAGTGTATGAAATCTAATATCTCCATCTCACTAGGTTCTTTCGTTTTTTGGCCATTTAGATGTTTTTTTGGAGTTCTGGGTTGATTGGGGGGAACTGGTTGTTTTCAGTTATAAGGCTTTTGATGAGTATGAAGGCATTGAGGTAGCATGGAATCAGGTGAAGCTTCATGATTTCCTACAGAGTCCTGAGGTACTTGAGAGGTTGTACTGTGAAATTCATCTGCTAAAGACCTTGAAACATGAAAATATTATGAAGTTCTACACTTCCTGGGTTGATACTGCTAACAGGAACATCAATTTTGTCACTGAAATGTTCATCTCTGGTACTCTTAAGCAGTAAGCATTATATAGTCTTCTTTGTATTTACCATAGTTCTTCTTCTAGTATTCCTTTTTATTATTTTGTTTGAATTGATCTGATTATCTTTGTGATTCCTATGATGTGGGTAATTCTTAAATCTTAATGTTCTGTATAGGTATAGGCTAAAACATAGGAGAGTGAACATTAGAGCAGTGAAGCATTGGTGTAGACAGATTTTGAGAGGGCTTCATTATCTCCATACCCGTGATCCCCCTGTAATTCACAGAGATCTTAAGTGTGATAACATTTTTGTGAATGGAAACCAAGGAGAGGTTAAGATTGGTGATCTAGGCCTCGCTGCAATTCTCCGTAAATCCCATGCTGCTCATTGTGTTGGTAAGTTGTAGGACTTCTGCTAATTTTTCATGTCCAAGGATCTTAACAGTTAACATCTTCAATTGCAATTACTTCGTGGTCTAGGACATCAGCTTAATCTTTTTGTTTCTTTTCTTCTTTAATTTTACCTCAGGAACACCGGAGTTCATGGCTCCAGAAGTTTATGAAGAGGAATACAATGAATTGGTTGACATATATTCTTTTGGCATGTGCATCTTGGAAATGGTTACCTTTGAATATCCATACAGTGAATGCACTCATGCTGTTCAGATCTACAAGAAAGTTATTACTGTATGAACTATATTTCCCTTCATACTTTTGCTTTCTTAGATTAACATATGACTCCTCTTGTATGAAAATTTTCCGCTTTGGATATAGGGGAAGAAACCTGACGCTCTATACAAGGTAAAGGATCCTGAGGTTCGGGAATTTGTTGAGAAATGCTTAGCAACTGTGTCTCTTAGGCTCTCTGCCTGGGAGCTTTTGAAGGACCCTTTTCTCCAAGTCGATGATTATGGTACCGATTTGAGGGAAATAGAGTTTCAAAGTGACTACGCTGTTGCGGCACCTCTTATAAGACAGCCTGTTTATGATTTTCATCATAACAACAGTAGCTCTTTGATCAATGGTTATACTAATCATCCTGGTTATGATCTTGAGAATGAGATAGACTATGATAAACTTGACCTCTTCACTAGTCAAGATGATGAGCATTTGGGAGATGTTGACATTGCAATCAAGGGCAGCAGAAGAGAAGATGATGACATCTTTCTCCGGCTCAGAATTTCTGACAAAGAAGGTTAGAGTTCTTCCCTTTTATCTCTTCCTGGGGTTCCTACCTTGTTTTCAATGTTTGGTTAACTTTAAAGATATTCTTTTCAGAATTTAATTCTTGTATGCAGGACGGATTCGTAACATATACTTTCCTTTTGACATTAAGACTGATACTGCATTGAGTGTTGCAACTGAAATGGTTTCTGAACTTGATATTACTGACCAAGATGTGACCACAATAGCTGACATGATTGATGGTGAAATTGCTACCTTGGTTCCGGAGTGGAAAAGGGAACTCATAATGGATGAAAATTCGCATTGGTCTGGTGCAAATTTCTGTCAGAATTGTGCTGCAAATGGCTATTTATCAGATTATGTGTCATCTTCTAGTGCAGGTGCCAAAAACCTGCAAGTTCTTCAGTGCTCAAATCAAGTATGTGCTGCTGTCCATGGCCGCTTTGAAGAGATTACATACCAAGTTGAAGGGACAGAAGAATATGATACAGAAGGCGGAGAAGCTGCATTAAGCCGCTCAGATAGCATTCATTATGCTGACATCTGGGCACAACGGGAAGGTCCGGAAATAAGCTCAAGAGATTCAAGGGATATCCGTTGTGATGATCAAGCACATAAGAAATCACCCCAATCGATCCATGGAAAAGAAGAGAATATCATTAACATGGACAGTCAAAGCAAACCAAAGGCAACAAGATCTTTCTCTGTCAACCATGTTCCCGATCCTGATTTCTCCAATGACTATGAGAATGAAATCAGGCAAGAACTCAGGTGGCTGAAAGCAAAGTACCAAATGCAGTTGAGGGAGTTCAGAGGCCAACAATTTGGAGTAAGTTCACGCTTGACACCTAGTTCTAATGACTCAGAGCACAGCAAAGCTGCACCATATTCCATTTTGCCACTTCCAAAAGGAGAAAGCAAGAGAATTGTCTTAAAATCCTTGCACCTAGGAAGCAAGCTACGCGGTCCCCATCTTTCCACTAACGTCGAGAAGAAAAATTCCAATTTCGCAAACCAAGGCATACAAAATTCTGAAGACAGCAACGATTCAAGTTTTGGTTGTAGCCCTGAGGCAATGGTTACTGCAAACAGCAGAACATTACTTCCACATCCTCTCCTAAGGACATCTTCACTTCCAGTTGATGCATTAGATGTGTAGAGGCTACCAGGAATTCCCAAACAGCATATCCTTTAGCCATAAAACAGGCAGCCTTCCTTTATTTGCATTCCAGCATAGATACATAAGTGAGATTATCCCTTGGATGAAATGAAAATTTTAGATCTAGTTCTTGTACATTACCACTAACCTTAAAGCAAAGGCAATTTCACAGACTTCAATTTCACTAATTATGTAAAAGACCCCCGAGTTTTGAGCAAAAATACACTTTGGTGTAGAGATTTCAAAAAACTTGCATACGTCGTCCCTTTTAATCTAAATTGAGATAAAACGAATTGTGTGTGTGTGTTTTTTTTTTTTTTAATTGAAAATTTGGACTAAAAGTGCATTTTCACCAACAGCTCATAAGATTCTTTGCCAACCTCCCAAATATAACCAAATGTTTCTCCAACCGTACTGACGGGAACATACAAAGAAGTCACTCCTTTTAAATGTGAGCCTTTTAAGTGCACCAAAACAAAAGCAAGCTGGTCCAAGAATTCAATGGTTTTAGTGGGGTGGGTAGCACACATCACAAACCTAACAGCTGTGCCATGTGATTGTCAAAAGTTTGCGGCTTGGTAGGACATGTAAAGGTCATCATCATACATACAAACATATGATCAACTATATAATAATTGGGAATCTGCCTGGAATACGGCTTAGTGGGATAAGCTCCATGGTTAGTTTCATCAGATAAAACACAAGCATTAGAAATACACTTAGATGCATCAAAGTCGAAATTACAGGTTACACCCTGTTTATTTTACATTATTTCAATTTTGAAATGTTCTTTTATGAGTCTCTCATGGTGGTTTACATACAGTAGCCAGACTAAGAGCTAAGACAAACAATTGGCGAAGGATGAAAGGAGGCAGCCAAATTTCTGCCCTTTTTTCTTAAAGGAAGAGAAACTAATTACAATATCCCAAAAAGCCTCAGGTCATTGGCAAATGTCATTGAATATATATTGCATCTTAACAATTATCTCTATTGGTGTGGCTAGAGAAATGATTCACATTTTATGACTTTCTTAAGCTGGTTTACAAACAGTAGCCAGACTAAGAGCTAAGAAAACAATTGGCAAATGATGAAAGGAGCAAACCAAGTTTCTGCTCTTTTTTTGTGAGGGGAAGAGAAACTAATTACCATATCCAAAATTGCCTCAGGTCATTGGCAAAATGTCATTGAATATATATTGCATCTTAATAACAATCTCCATTGGAGTGGCTAGAGACATGATTCACAAAGCACGTCGATGGCTGTCTGCTACGCATCCAGGATACATACAAGACATGAACATAAATATAGAGTTCTGCTCACGCATGTAATTATATGAGCATCACTGCAACATTGATAGTTCTAACCAAAATAATGTATCTTATACCCCCAAAAAAAAAAAAAAAAACCTCAAAAAGTGTCATAACATAAAGCAATTCTTAGACAGAACAAGAGCAACAAAATGAGGAAATTTCAACCAATGTCAAAGTTATTCCATGAAGCAGCCTATATACATATTGAGAACAGATAATTAAGTTTGCAGACACCTAGATGCTCATTGCACCATAATGTTTCTGAGTCAACAACATGATTCTGATTCTTGCAAAACTCCCTGACTGGCCAACCAAAAAAATTAACTCTAGAAAGCAAATTACTTTTAAGCATCACCTCCAGCAGCCACTAAGAAGCAAGCTGCGTGATCATAAGAACTCCTGCAAAATAGAAGTATTAGAAAGCTGGAGGCAGAGAAATAGCATTTACTTTTCCCTCAAATTATTGAAAAAACATTAAAGTGTTTAGTATTTATGCTTTTGTTGCAGCGGGTTAATATTGCCAGACACAATTTTGCATTAAGGTGGCAGGAACAACTGTTTAATGTTCTATTCTAGGTATACTTCAACTTCCAAGTGCATAACATTAGCTTCTTGAGATAAGACATATCCTCCAACTTTGCCTTGGCCTTGTTGGGAACCATCTGCTCTCCTTGAAATATAACATAGTTCTTTGACATAGCACACAATGAAGGTTAGAGAATGCAAATGCTTAGCTTGGAAAAATTCTTTGGCATTCTATTTCTCCTCCATTTAGCTTATGAACTGCAAGCTCCTTAGCTTCTCCCCCTCCATCAAGCTCCTTAGTGAACTTGGAATAATATTTTCCAAATAAAGCCAGATATCATGCACCATGAACATGGACATTCACTGACTTTTTCGAATTCTGGACATGTTTCAATACACCTCTGCTCCTTGCAGATATCTTGCAAAATCAACCGTAAGTCCATGGATCTAAAATGCCGACACAATCCCATCTTTCATTTCAAGGTACTAAAAAAACGAGTGATTAACCAAAGACTCAAAGTATTTCAATCCAAGCTTTTCTAGATTGTAAGGGACTCATTTATCCAGGGTAATCTAGTGTTGGACAACATCGTCTTTCTGAATTTATGTCTTTTGGTAAAAGAGAAAGATATTGAAAACATCTCCTAATTAGTGCAGCTATCACTAAGAATAAAGGCATAATACTCCACTTGTAATCCATAAGTCCAAATTTCATTACTCAGAATATTGTGTCGTGCTTTACCTTTACCAACTTCCTGTTGACTAGTTTCTGAAGAGATTTTCTAGCAACATAATACCTTCACTTTTCTCCGCAAGAAATTTCATTTTTTTAAAATCCTCCCTCTCTCATTGTTCTCAATTGTTCGCATGAAGTGCTTTTTGATAAAATATCAACTAGCAAGGATTGGAATCCAATCGAGTAGACCGGGTAAAATTGGATCCAATCCAAAAATGAGACCTGACCCATCTGCCATGGATCAAGTTATGAGTTTTATATATTAATCTTAAATCCAAAATAACTCAAATTGAAATTACCCGAACCCAAATGGATTAGGTCACCCGAAATGACCTGAACTTATTTATTATTATTTTTTATTAGATTACTTAAAAATTAATTTTAAATTTCTAATTCCCTAATACTAAAAATAAAATTAAATAAAATACTCAAACCCTACCGTCCGTCAATTTCACTTTCTCTCAACTTTTCCTCTTTCCCACTCTTGCTCTCCCCTACTTTATCTCAAGCTCTCTAATCTTTCTCTTTAGTGGGATTTGTGTCAAAAATTAGATTAGATAACACATAGTGAGTTGTGTCATATAGTACCTCAAAAATATCTTTTTTTTAAAAAAAATAAAATAAAATAAAAAACAAGAATGCCTATTGAAAATCAAAACCTAGTGGTTGAGGTACCCTTATCACCATCAAAAGCACAAAAACAAGAACATTAAGAACAGTAAGGTTCATTCTTAGTTGCTAATTTGTTCTTAATTAATAATTTGTTTCTAGTTAATAAAAATCAATCTAAATCCAATTTCTTTTTGTATTTGTTTAGACATATTTTGGATTTACCTTTTGAACTTTAATATTGAATATGGCTATATTTTTTGTATAATGCCCTTTTGAATATTGAATAGAATTGTATTTTTTTGTATAATACCCTTATAAATATTGAATAGGTACTACATATTAATATATATATTGGATTTGTTTTTTAAACTTTAATCCTTTGTGTCTTTTCTTTTAACGAAGGTTAATGTTTTTATGAAATTATGAATTCTAAATATTATATAAGCAATATATATTTGACATATATTTTAGTTCCACCAATATAATCAATAATCTTTCCCTTTTCTTTTCTTGAGATTGGAAAAAAAAAAATTGAATCATGAAATGAAAATTAACATTTAATAAAGTTTTCTAACTAAATAGTTCATAAGCATTAGATTTTGTTAAAGAAAAAAAAGAGAAAAATATAGATAATTTTAATTTTTTCAAAGTTGGGTCCACCCGATCCAATTTAAGACACGTGTGGATGAGTCATGAGTTTATCCCTTTAAACTGACACTCAAAATGACCCAATTTGAAAACTCAAAATCCGAGATTATCCAATCCAAACCTATTCAATCCGACCTGTTTGCCAATTTACAATCAAGCTAACTTATGTGTATGGGAAGAACTCACCTTCACAATCAGATCTTTATTGCACGTGTTGATAAGAACTAAACTGCCATTTGATCTTCCAAAAACCATTTTCAAATAATTTCAACTTCTAGTGTCGACGTTTACTAAATTATCTAGTACCACAAACATCATTTTACCTTTAAGGGCAAGTATAACAGTTTTAGTTAGTTTTTCTAGTTTCGAGTCTAGTGTTTTGTGAATTCTCCATCAAGAGGCTCTCAGCAATACTTTTAAGAACAATTTTCTCATCATAATATTAGTATGAATTTAAAAGGATGATTGATAAATTAAAAATAAATTTTTTATTACATATTTTATATTTATTACACCAACTTGTGCCAAATCCTATATCAACATAATTGTATTAAGAGAATAGATACAACTAACCATTTAAAAATTCTTGACTGTATTTTGAAAAGAAGCTTCCAATATATATTCAATCTTAGGATTTGTTCAATGCTATACCGCATCATGTTATAGTTGTATTTTTTTTATTATTTAAAAATATATAAAATATTATTAAAATTAATAAAAAATATAAAAATTAATTAACAATAATAAATTTATGTTGATCTATCTCATCATATTCTTAATTTAGCTCTGTCTTACATCAACTCATTGAGCAACAAATGTTCTAGTTCAATTTGAGTTATATCTTCTTGCTTGTCCAAACGCAACCTCTTTTTTGATTATCATCTATTACACTTTCTTTCCTTTGGCTATTAATGTACGAAGATCATAATTAGATTATTCTAAGTCAAAACATGGAAAATGAAGCTTTTTTAGTATTATTTGTTTATACTTTTTCACTTATTATTAGTTCACATCTTCACCTTTCATTAATTGTTTCAGAGACTCCATTACTTAGCTTATCCTCCTCACGTTTTGTCATAATATTTTTCTCTACTTGAAACTCAACATCACATTGACTCCCAATATGTTAATAATTTATATATTATTAATCTTTCCCCCTTTAGTATGTGTAGTCCATAAAAAATAGTTAAGGACACCAAAAAATTGGTTTTTTTTTTCTTAAATAATGTTTGAAAATATTAGTTTATTGATCAATTTTAATTAATTAGCTAATCAATACCACTTATTAAATTTTGCCGTCATTAAATCGCAAATGCATTGACTGATTTTAAGTTGGATTGAGGTGATAATTAGTAAATTATGAAAATTTAAATTTAATTAGAATTTAAAATCTAGAAGTTGAGTTAAATTTGAGTAATATACAATTTAAATTGAAATATAAGACTCCTAAGTTTAAATACACTTTAAACTCTTAAGAAAGGTCCATTAGATATTTATTTATAATTTTATGAGTTTTTTAAAGGGATTTATTGAAGATTTTAAAGGGATTTAATAAAGATTTTTAAAGGTCAATTAAGTATTTATTCAAAATTTTTTGATAATTTTAATATTTTTTATAATATACTAAGATAGTAAGATTGTATAAGAAATATTTGCACAAATTATTTTCGAATGATGCCTTATAAAGCTCATCCTTTTGTTGGCTTTTCCTCTTAAATACCAAAAAGCTTACAATTACTGCAAACAATTACAAGATGGAGATCACATAAAACATGAATAAGACTTAATTAAAAGGCTTAAAAAAACAATTGTCTTGAGACTTAAAAATGTGTATGCATTTAAAAAGAAAAAAACAATAATAATTAAACCAAAACTGACAAACAAATTAAAAGTATAAAATACTTATTTGAGACATTTTATTTTACTTATTTCATCCCAATAACAAAAAAACAAATATGCTTCGGTGTCTTAATTCCAATCCCTAACTTAAATTCAGCTATTCCATGGATATTGTTGCCTTTCATTGTAAAAATAGGGGCCATTGGGATATATGTTCCAAACACAAAGCCTGCATTTGTCAGCATCTCTTTTATCTATGTAAATATCAAACCAATGAAAGTTTCCTGGCCATGAAAAACTGCAGAAAAATGATGTTGTTCCCCAAATGTTAGGAACAAAATCAAATTCAAAAAAATCTGTATAAGAAATAGTTTTGACTCCAAGATCATCAGTCTTCGATTTGCAATGAACAGTAAGTTCAGTACTCACTATGTCGTTGGTGATCGACACATGTTTTCGACTTCGAGCACTAGAAATGGTGAAAAGGAAAGCAAACATGATTAGGAGGAGGAAGAAATTCCTTAGAAAAGAATCCATTCTTGCTGTGATAGGGAAAAACATACTACTTTCTTAGTTTTATATTAGAAGGTATTTAATATATTTCTTAACTATTATTTCCAAATGTACTCATTGAGAGTTATTTATGGTATGTGTATCAAGCATAGGATTTTCACTAGATACAATGAATGTAAATACTAGAAATTAGTTTTGTAAAATGCATTTTAGGAATGGTGAATTTCATAGTGATCACCCAACTTTATTAAAATCAACATTTTTGTTACTTAGCTTGTAAATCTAACAAAATTATAAAAATACCACATATGATCTGACATAGCATCACCTAGCTGACATAGCACTCCTTTTCAGGAACTTAAGAGGTAAAAAGAAATGCAATCTTAATTCTTAACATTTTGATTAAATATAGAAAGAACAAATAAGAAAACCTATAAATTTGCAATTTTGCTCTACCAAAAACGTTTTTTTTAAGGGAAAATTTGGCCATCAACACCAAAAAAATCAAACTTATTCATTTGATATAGCATCTATATATTATATCCAACTATCCCAAATGCTTTTTGAAGTAAACACCAATATTCACAAAAAAAAAATTTACTTAAATAAGTATTTTAATTTCTAGAGAACAAAAGTACTCACTTGTTGACTGTTGCATTGTAACCCTTTTCATTGCCCATTTAGAGAGAGAGAAAAAAGCTACAATGCTTAACAAAATCCAAATTCATGATGTAACTAATTATTTCCACCAAACAAAAGTAGTATTCTTTTTAATGTAGTTTTCAATTGTTGAGCACTTCATCTAGTTCCTTTTTTTCTGATTGAACTTGTTCATTCCTAGATCCA